GAGGGTGACAAAGTGAGACTCTGTCTCCAAAAATAAATAAATAAATAAATAAATAAATAAATAAATCACATTTAAATTGGGGGGTTTTCAGAATCTGGAACCATCTGTGTTGGGGACCCTACATGAGCATGGCATGTGGTTCTTTTGAACAGCCACAGCCTGGTGAGTGATCCTTAGAAGAGAAGTAGGTGGTTAGAAAGTGCCCTGGGTTTGGGGCTGAGGAAGAGAGGCCTCTAGTTGAGTAGAAGGGGATGCTTCCCTCCTAGGTGTTGTATTCAGCCACTCACTTTATAAAGAAGAATATACGGCTTAGTGCCTATTGCTCAGCAGCTAGAGCACCGGCCACATACAGCGGGGCTGGCAAGTTCGAACCCAGCCCAGGCTTGCCAAACAACAATGACAGCTGCAGCTGCAACAAAAAAAATAGCCAGGTGTTGTGGTGGGTGCTTGTGGTACCAGGTGTTCGGGAGGCTGAGGCAAGAGAATCGCTTGAGCCCAGGAGTTTGAGATTGCTGTGAGCTATGATGCTACAGAACTCTACCAAGGGGAACAAAGTGAGACTTTGTCTCAAAAAAATATATACATATATATACACACCCATATGTAATATGTGTGTGTGTGTGTGTGTGTGTGTATACTGAGAGTTCACTGGGAAATAAAAATAATGAAAACTACCTGAAAACCTCTCTGGCCAGAGAAAAGCCCTCATCATTTGGTATTTTGGGTTCCTGTTGTGTTGTATGGACAACACCTAGGGTCACCCACTGCCTGTTTCTATGTTTTTAATTGTGCAGAATATTGAGGGCCTTTTCCTTGATCATTTTGCAGGCTTCCTACTTAACTTGTCTCTTTAAAACTCTTCAACTTCTTTCTCTGCAAACTGCAAAAGAGGTCTGGGAGGTCTCTAGGAGGGCAGTAGGGTCCAATTTGGGACATTACAAGGGGAAGAGGTGAGAGGGCTCTGGCAGGCATCCTACCTGCTGTGAGAACCACTAGGTCTATATGTCCTGTACCTCTTTAGGCTCTGTCCATACATCTGTCTGTGAACTCAAGACACTTGCTTAGATTTATGACCGCTCCCCACCATAAGCTCACCAATAACCTAGAGCCTCAGCACACATCAAATGCATCCAAACCTGCTCAGGCCATCTGAGTGCCACATGACATCCCAAAAGACTGCATCATCACTGGGACCCTTATATAGCTCCAAAAGGGGCGGCTGAGACTCTGTCCAGAAGGCACAGGTGCACAGCAGCCAAGCAGGGGCTGCATTTTGTTTGAGCTCTTGGCTTCTAGGCAGAGAATGCCTGCCTCCTGGGCTGCTGTCACCCCACTGTTGTGTGGTTCCTAGGACTGGTAAACATTAACCAGCAAAACGGCCCATTCCAGAGGATTCCACGGCGCAGGCAATACATCTGCGCCAGGGAGGGCAGAGGCCATGAGAACCTGCCAGGCCTGGCTCCAGGAAAACCTTTTCTTGACAGTCTCCTTCAGGTGTCTATTCCACCTCCCACCCCCCCAATCTGGAAGGACACTAGCCACATGTGTCTCCCCTTGTCACCAGTAGTATGATGCCCTCCTGAGCATCAACATTAAAGCCTGTGTCACCCATTATTGTGCAGCTCCCCTGCTCTCAGCCCCGCACCCCTATAGTTGCACACACCTGGTCCTGGCTGTACACTCCCCCTTCAAGGAAAGAGTTTGGAGCAGACATACGGACCTGTGTGAAGAAGATCCAAGGGTGAGAGGGGGCACAGTGATGCTTCTTTGGTCCCTTACTCCAGAGAAGCATGGTCACTGGTGGCTGGGCAGGCTCACAAGGGACCCTTATGGTGCTGACTGTGTGTATGACTGTCCCTGTCTGCTATAGAGGGTGGGCCCTGCTGCATCAGTCTCCTTGAGTCTTGTGTCTCCAGGGCCGAGTCTCATTGCCAGCTCTCTGCCCAGTGGTATCTCTCTGGAGCCAGGGCAAACCCTGCTTGACCACCCACCAGGTGAGGTATGTGTTTGCTAGGGACAGGACTGCATTGTGAGGGGCCCAGCCAGTGCTGGCTGGGAGTCATGTGCAACTTGGGATTCAGGCCAGGAGTGCCTCAGTCTCAGTCAGACCCAGGACCATGAGTGCAGCAGGCGTTAAAGAGGGGGATTGTGGGCTCGGCGCTTATAGCTCAACCGGCTAAGGCGCCAGCCACGTACACCTAAGGTGGCGGGTTCGAATCCCCAGCCTGGACCCGCCAAACAACAATGACGGATGCAACCAAAAAATAGCCAGGCGTTGTGGCGGGCGCCTGTGGTCCCAGCTACTTGGGAGGCGGAGGCAGGAGACTCGCTTGAGCCCAGGAGTTGGAGGTTGCTGTGAGCTATAATGCCATGGCACTCTACCCAGGGGGACAGCTTGAGGCTCTGTCTCAAAAAAAAAAAAAAAAAAAGAGGGGGATTGTGGAGGGAGAACCCCCCAACACCAGGGTTTAGTTCAGTCGGAGACTCTCTTAGACTTGTGGTCCCTGAGCTTCCCTTGGCTGCTGCATTCTGGGTCACCACATCAAATGTGTACCTGGCCCCTTTAGAGCCTCAGGGTGTCCAGCAGAGGCTGTGGGGGTATGTGTTTGTGTGCATGTGTTTCTGAGCCCCAGAGTTGAGTCATCAGATGCAATTAGGGTGTGATTTTTTCAGATGCTGAGTGTAAGCTGCTCCATCCTTCTCTGACCCTAGTAAAACCACATGGTTGTGTTCAGATTAGGACTGGTGTGGTGGGAACCAAGATGGACCTTGCCCTTGTCCTCTACCGTCATATGTCCGGGGAGCCCTGAACCTACCCCACCCCACCCCAGCTTATGATTCTGCAGCAGCAGGGCAGGGACAAAGTCTGTTGCCCTGTAGGGACATGCCTGAGGCTGAGAGGGGGTGCTAGGGGATGGGATGGGAGCAAGGAGCTTCCTTCCAGGAGGGAACAACCTTTCTCCTGGAACAAGGTTCAGCCTGGGAAAGTGGAGACAGGAGGATCATCAGCCCAGATGGCTGCTACTGCAGAGACTGCCTGGTTGCCCCAGGGTAGCCATGCCCAGGAGCAGGGACGGGCATTGGACTCTTTGGGTCTAGCACCATTGACTCCAGGCCAGATGCATAGCTTGCCTTATGAGTCCCAACACTGTCCTGAGGACCAAGTCCCAGCTGTAGCTACACAGCAGGGTCCAGGGGAGCAGTGTTTCTCTATGTGCCTGGGTGATAAGAGCTGTGTTCTCAGTCTCATACATGGGCACAGATAGGTGAAGCCTTCCATGGGTGCATGTGGCAGCTTGACAGGGCAAGGGGTACAGGGTTCACCCTTGGATCTTCCCTTTCTGTCTTATGTTGATGAAGTATTTAAGTGTCCACAGGTCATGGAGGAAAAGATGGGGCTTAGGGCTGCTGAGAGGGTGTGGCAGCTCAGGGACGAGGCCCAATGTTTTCTTATGTGTCCCAGTTCTCATAGACCACTCTTGCCCCCTTTGCATGTCTGCCTCTCTGTCAGGACCTTGTGTGCTCAAGCCCAGGGACTGTTTCAGGAAGGGTCACTTCTGGTGACAGAGGGTTAGCCTAGAAAGCATTATCCTCTGTTGTGATGCTCTCTTGCCCTAAGCCCTGCGTCTTGGCTGGGATAGCACAGTGTCCATCTTCCTGCCCCAGGCTGCCCATCCTCCTGGGCAGGGCTTCAGGGATGCTGTTCAAAGTCAGGTTTGTGTACACCGTGACACATATTCTTTGTCATATGTTACCCATGATGTGGACAACACTATTGATCTGTGAGACCCATAGGGCCCAAACCTGCCTTGTTAATGGCCACAGGATGGTGAATGGACACACATGGAGTCCATGTTCAGTGTAGGGGAATGCCAAGAAAGTGTCACCAAGCAGAGGTGCCAGAGTTGTGGGGCAGCTGCTGATACCCCGCTTGTCAAATCTTACCTTAGAGCAGCAGTTCTCAACCTGTAGGTTGTGACCCCTTTGTAAGAATGAAAACACATTGCGGCATTAGGAAGGTTGACTAGTCATTAGGAAGACTGCTTTAGAGGGTGTCTTGGGCCAAATCTGGGTGGGAAAATGCATAATAGTTTAGACAAGCCACTTCCCCAGGGTCACACAATCATGGTGGGGTCCCTGTCTCCAGGTAAATGCTGAGAGCTGTGTCCTCAGACTGTTAGAAAAATAGACACAGCCTCACTCTTCCTACCCCCACCCCACATAGGTGCTAAGGGCAGGTGGTGGGGACATTGGCCCCCAGTACCATCACTGTCAGGAAAGCATAGCTGTGTTTTAGAGAAAATTGCTGGCACATTGGTGTTGTAAGGGTGTGTGTAGGAGAGACGGACCCAGGAGGAGACCCTGGCCTGTCTTGTGGTCTCCTCCACGCCAAGGACTCCTGGTGACACCCCCACCCCCCTCCACACAGCACATCTCCATCCCCCAGCCTGACTGCCCCTCGGAGTCCCGGACCTTCTCCTTCTACCTCTCCAACATTGGCCGTGACAGCCCGCAGGGCAGCTTCGACTGCATCCAGCAGTATGTGTCCAGGTGAGGCTCCCCTGGCCCTGAGTACCCACTGCCTTGGTCTAGGGCCACACATGCCCCATTGACATGTTTTGTTTCTGTGGGGTGAGGGGTCTTGGGACCCTCAGTGGAACCTCCCCACATTGTCCTAGATGGTGATCTTGGCCTGGCCCTTTGTCTTGTAGCCATGGAGACATCCTCCTGGACTGCCTGGGCAGCATCCAGGACAAGATCACAGTGTGTGCCACTGACGACTCCTACCAGAAGGCACGGCAGAGTATGGCACAGGCTGAGGAGGAGACACGGAGCCGCAGCGCCATCGTCATCAAGGCTGGAGGCCGCTATCTGGGTGAGCAGTGGGGGCTTGAGGCCAGTTTTTGAGGAGAAGGAATGGTTTGGGGCCTATCTGGGCTCGGGTCACTGTATGTGCCTGTAGTAAAAATGATGACCCAGTGGCTGTGGCATCTGGTGTCTTATGAAGCCCAAGGTGGACACTGGGGACCCCAAAACCCTAGGAGCCCTGAGTCAGCAGGCTATTCTGCTAGGCTGTGTACTTGGGGACCTTTACCTATCAGGGAGACAGGCTCCTCCAAACAGGGATGCTGTTAAGGCAAGGCCCCTGGTTTGTTTGTCTCCAGCACCTCCCTGAGGCCACCACAGCCATGACATCATGGATATGGGGAGCGGGGATGAGCCATGCTGTGGCCTATTGCTAATGTGACCCCACACACCACCAAGGAGACTCCAAGAACTCAGCGTTAGCTTGAAAAGAGTTTCAGTGAAGTTGAGAAACCACCAAGCACAAAAAGCAGGAAGAAAAGTACTGTTGATTTAGAAAGCTCTATCATCTCACGGCAGGTTTCCTGCCTTTTAGACCAGACAGAGCTAAAGAATCATTGGAATTCATTGCCAGGGAGAAGGGTGCCAGGCTTCAGAGACAAATGAAACAGTTCAGAGAAGGCTTGTTGGTTTTTTTCCCTTCCTTTTTTAAGAAAAGGCAGAAGGATTTCACTTCCTCTCTCCCCACCCCAAAGAGAGCATGTTATTCCTCCTTGCTTAGCGATACTCTTGGCTTGAATGAAACCCCAGATAATTGGTGTAGGAGTCTGTCGTCTTGGTCAGTGCTGGCCCCAGGTGGACACATCTAAGCCTCCAAAATGTTTCATGTGCTATCTCTCAATTCAGAGTGGCCATGTGAACATGTAAGAACTTGGTCAGAAAATTTGTCTCATCCAACCTCTTTGGGTTCAGTGAGGGTTTTTTGTCTTTTGTTTTTTTTAGACAGTCTCACTTTGTTGCCCTCAGTAGAGTGCATCACAGTTCACAGCAACCTCCAGCTCTTGGACTTAGGCAATTCTCTTGCCTCAGCCTCCTGAGTAGCTGGGACTACAGGTGCCTGCCACAATGCCCAGCTATTTTTTTGTTGCAGTTTGGCCGGGG